GCAGAGCCTTCCTGCCCTCACGCAGGCTGGGCCGTGGTGTGCGTGTGAGGCTCCGGACCTGCCCTTCTCCCTCACGCAGCCGTCCTGATGCCTTCCTTCCCCCCTCCCAGGGAACACCTCTCCATCCGGGGCTTCATCTGGTGGATCCGCTGCCTCGTGATCAATGTGGTCCTCTTCATCCTCCTCTTCTTCCTCACCACCCCCGCTATCATCATCACCACTATGGACAAGTTCAATGTCACCAAGCCCGTGGAGTACCTCAATGTAAGGCCTTTGGAGGCGGGTGCGGGATGGGTAGCATGGGAACCACCCCGAGGCACAACAGCCCTTGCGAGGGAGCGGGTAGGGAGCGAGATTGTCAGTGTTCCCCGGGTCCCGTCAGCCTGACCACAAAGTAGGTGCTGAGCCTGGCCAGGGCGCAGCAGCAGCCGTGGTGCTGGAGACTCGGCATCAGCAAAGGCAGCTGTACCTGTGGCTGGTGCAAGAGCTGCTGCACTGTGTAACACGCGGTCTCTTCTCTACCTCGTTGCAGAACCCCATCATCACCCAGTTCTTCCCCACCCTGCTGCTGTGGTGCTTCTCTGCTCTGCTGCCCACCATCGTGTATTACTCTGCTTTTTTCGAAGCACACTGGACCAGGTAAGGACAGCCAGCTGTTGTTCTTAGTCATACCAGCATGCTGCCTGGCTGCAAGATACTTCTCATACATAAAGATCCTGGCTGGATCCTTCTACTTGAACTTCTTCCACTCTAAGCGTGGTGTGATGTTGTACTCCTGAACACCTGGGGTCTGCTGTGGACAACTGTTCTGCCAGTCCTTAGCTGCTGTTGTGCGGCATGGTTGTCTGAGCAGAGCTTGACGTAGGTCTACAAGAAGAAGAAAGCTGGGAGGAGTTGGGGCTGGTCACTGTGATAAATGCTAGTACAAGGGAGCTCTTACATGTGGCATACGTGTACCCATGTGTAAGCTGTAGCTTTTCCAAGGGAATATCACCTTAGCTGCTATGGCTTCTGGCCATAGGGAAGGTATTTGAAGTGCAGAGCACTTGAAGTATGCTGCTTGTGAGGCACATTCCCCACAGGACATGCGATGTAAGCTTTCTTTTCTGCTCTATGTTGCAAAGACTGGTGGGGAGGATGTCACCAGCTCTGAGGATTACAGGTCAAGAGAGATGATTGCAGAGTTCTCTAAAGATATGAGGGCTGGGAGGGCTTGTGAGACAAGGGAGGAGGAACTGGGACTCGAGAACAGACCTCAGGCACGCTGGAGTGAAAGGGGGCATATTCATGTACCAGTAGTGGACAGGGTGGGATTCAAATTAAATACTGGGAAGCGCTTTCTGATGCGAAAGCGATGGGGGCACAGCTCTTGGGGCTGGCAAGGCAACAGTGAAAGGTTAACAGCCTCCTCTCTGCCCTCAGGTCTGGAGAGAACAGGACAACCATGCACAAGTGTTACACCTTCCTCATCTTCATGGTCTTGCTGCTGCCATCCCTGGGCCTGAGCAGGTAGGGGTGGTGGGAAGGGAAAGCAAGGGCAGAGACCTGGAGCATGGGCAGGGTTGAGATGCACCCCTGGTTGTTCTCCTACACTACATCCCTTCCCTGGCCACCATCCCTTTGGGAAAGGTGTTCGGTTCTGGTTGGGGGACCGGGCCAGCCTGCACCTGGCTGGGTCTCTAGAAGCTTATTGATTCAATCTGCGGACGCATTGACACATGCCGTGGTGTTACACATAACGCAGCAAAAATCAGCACAGTTGATGGCCGCGTGTAAAAAGTCTGCTTGAGGTCTGCTGGTGAAGGAGGCACTCCTCACCTCTGTGCTCAGTGCGCACTCTGAATTTTGCACAAAACTAGTGAATTCCCTATTTGAGCCAGAACTAAGTAGGTTGCACTGCTTGGCTGGATGGCATAGTTATGTGTAGGCTGCAGCAATGCTTCTCTGTTTGGATGTGAGCCCCAAATCTTCCTTCAGGGGTTATAGAAATGCTCTGTGGCAAACAGGGGTGCATCAGCTGCCAGCCATTGGTGTGGGCTCCCAGCACTGAACAGTAGCCGAGTAGGGAAACAGTGTGAGGAAGGAAAAACTGGGGTGGGAGTGGGATGAGGGGTGTCCTCACTGTGGGTAGGGAGTTACTTACACATTGTAGGGTGGGGGATCTCCACCCCCGTAAATTCAGGATACAGCCCCTCAGTGGTGAAGTCAGGCAGCTCCTGAGAATAGACAAACCCTCTGATAGAGGCAGAATAGTCCTCCGTCCCAGCAACATTTCCCAGACAGATTAAAAATGCCGTGTTGCATATAACCTGACGACCTAGGCAGGTGAATGCTCTTGGAAGGTTTACATTTTGACCAGATACCATTAAACAGACTGTGCTTCCTTCTGAGAACTCCGTCGCCTTGCTGTTGCCTCTGGAGCTCTGTACTCTGCCAGAGGATTGGATGTTTTATATCAAAAAATCAGAATTGAGGAAAATGGAATTTGTTTCTCCTAAAGGATTCTTTTAATCTCTGTGTCACAGGGTACCTTGTACCTCACCGGTTTCTTCTGTACAGTCAGTCATGTGTTCCTAGCATGGATGTTGTGCCCAAACAGAGGGGAGAAGAAAATGCTTTACTGATAGGATCAGGGCAAAGGGAGAAGAACACACATGAGAGTAGGAAGCTTTACATCCCTTTTTGGGTGCTGCACTGTTTTTTCCTAGTGTCTGATTTACATAACTGTTGGTGACGCATCCCAGGAGGGAACAAAACGGTCTATGGTCAGAGTTTTGGGTCCTTCTAGAGCAGCTTCCACATATTTTCATGGGCATGTCTACCGCTGCTTCTGACTGTTCCTCTTTTCTTCTTGCCCCCCCCTCCCCCACAGCTTGGATGTGTTTTTCCGCTGGTTGTTTGACAAAAAATTCCTTGCCGAAGCCGCCGTGCGATTTGAGTAAGTGGAGGTGGGCAGAAGGCCCTTCTTTGCAATGGAGGGAGGTTCTTGTTGGTGTCCAAAGGTACTGGGGGCTCCCAGCTGCCGCCCTGCAAGGGGGGAACAGCTCCTGCAGCCTGCTCTTGTTGCACCTCCCCAGGTGTGTGTTCCTGCCGGACAACGGGGCCTTCTTTGTCAACTATGTCATCGCCTCTGCCTTCATCGGCAACGCCATGGACCTGCTGCGCATCCCCGGCTTGCTGATGTACATGATACGCCTCTGCCTGGCCCGCTCAGCTGCTGAGCGTAGGAACGTCAAACGAGTGTGTAGTGGGGCTGAGGGGTGGTGGGTTGTAGCCTCTACTCAGGGATGGGAGTGCTGCGATGGGGCTTGCCCGATGCGGTGTGTACAGCTCGGGTGTGTTGCACACCCCTGCTCAGATCCCTGTTCCCTCTTGCAGCACCAGGCCTATGAGTTCCAGTTTGGGGCTGCTTATGCCTGGATGATGTGTGTCTTCACTGTGGTCATGACATACAGCATCACCTGCCCCATCATCGTCCCTTTTGGTAAGTGATACCCCTCAGCCTCCCTGTGCTCGCAGGCTGGGGAGAGCTGGAGGTGAGGAGGCAAGAAGGGGTGGTGTGGGGCAGATATTCCCTGTCCGTCAGAGGCACTGTGAAAAGAGGCTGATTCCCCGCTTTACTGGCATCCCTCCCTTTCTCCCAGGGCTCATGTACATGCTGCTTAAGCATCTGGTGGACCGATACAACCTGTATTATGCTTACCTGCCTGCCAAGCTGGACAAGAAGATCCATTCAGGGGCTGTGAACCAGGTGGTGGCAGCCCCCATCCTCTGCCTTTTCTGGCTTCTTTTCTTCTCCACTATGCGCACAGGTGAGTGCTGGGCTGGGATGCCGGCCCCTGGCTACCTACAGAGCTACTTCCCTGGCCAGACTGTGGTCCTGGCAGCCCCCAGCCACAGGGCACGGTCAGGGATCTGCCCCCGCCACTTCGGTTTTCCTTTGCCCCAGGGTTCCTCGCCCCCACTTCCATGTTCACCTTTGTGGTCCTTGTGATCACCATTGTGATTTGCCTGTGTCACGTCTGCTTCGGGCACTTCAAATACCTCAGCGCTCACAACTACAAGGTGAGATAGAGTGCTGGGTGGGGGTGTGGGACCCTTCTCCTTGGGAGCACAGCTCAACTGAGCAGGGGCTGCCGGGGGCTCCCAGCCTGCTCCCTGGCAGAGCCTCTCAGCCTTGGCTTCACGGAGGGGACAGTCCCAGGGCTGTCCCTGCTGCCTGTATGCTGCTCCTGTGGTGGGACAGCAAATGTGTTGCCCCAGCAGGCTCTTAATTTCTCCTTTCCTCGCCAGATTGACCACACGGAGGTGGACACCATAGAAAACAGGCAGAATGGGAGACCTGCCACCAGTCTGCCAGCTCCCAAATCAGCTGTGAGTCCCTGTGTACACCCCACCCCCCCCATGCCCTGGGATGCTCCTTACCTGGGTTTGGGAAGAGGGAGGTAACTCCCTGTCCAAGTTCCTCGCTCCTCGCCGTTCTGAGGCTGGACCCAGAGCCTCCCAGTGAGGGTGGGAAGCAAGTATTGGGTGCTGTGCCCCTCACCTGAGCTAGGTGATGAAACGTAACCCCCTGCCCACACGCACACACACGCGCGTGCGTGTGCAACCGTTTCCTGCTGCTCCTCAGACACTGTGAGTTTATTTTCTGCCTTTCTCAGCTGGGGCAGTGAATCCAGCCAGGTCAGTCTCCCTTCTCATTCTGCATCTTTGCATCCTTGCCTGTCAGCAAAGGCTGTCACCCACCAGGCTGGTCCTAATGCCAAGGCAAAGGAGACTCCGTGGGCATTGCCTTGAAGGCTGTGAAAGTGATTTAGGAACTCTCCCCTCCCCTGCCTAAATCTCTGAGGCCCCGGAGTCAGTTTTCTGAACTTCTCCTTGGCTCACTGACTCATTCCAACTGCTTCCTTCCACCATCAGATTTTTCTAGCTAGGGTCTGTGCAAAACCGTTCAGGGGGTACGTGCAGACATGGGGTAAAGCAGAGCCTCCTGCTTCCTCGGGAGAGTGGGCTTGGGACGTGCATGTGTAATCCAGGCTCCTTCCCATGCCTCACAGCATCTTGCCAGAAGGACACAGCCCGTAGGAGGAAGGCACAGCCTCAGAGGGACACGTCCACTGGCAAAAAAGGGAGCAGTTTTCCAATCCACATGGGCTCCAAAGAGCTGAGAATCCCTCATGCTGTCCCAGCCCTGGCTCCATGGGGGTGCTGCCTGTTTCAGGATGCCGGGGTTTGGCACATGCACTGTTGCAGGGCCGAGCCAGCCCCACTTTTACCCCCTCTCCCAGTACATCCCATGGAGTCTGGACCCTTCCTCATCCTCCCAGCATATCCCCACATTCAAACTTCTTGCATGGCACTTTTGCGTGTTGTGTTCTGCTGCCATGAGAAGCCCCCCAGGCTCATGTGTGTTTTCTGCCATCTCCCCACCCCTTGCCTGCCTGTGCCTGGCCCCGGCAGAAGTACATCGCCCAAGTGCTGCAGGACTCATCGCCGGAGGGTGAAGCAACAGAGTCGGAGGAGCAGGGGTCGCAGGACGAGGAGCTCATCAACGCAGATGGCATGAACGACACGGATTTCCAGTCGTGTGAGGACAGCCTGATAGAGAACGAGATCCACCAGTAGGGACCACGGAGGGCGGGAGGGGAAGGAGACCCAGG